TTATGTAACTTAAATTACCAGTATTAGGTTAGCTTAGTTGCCTGAATTTTTCAAAATAAATAAAAAATAAATAAAAATCTAGGAACAAATATTTCATCCATCCATCATCCATTATCTTTACCCTTTATGGGCTAAATGAACATTTGTCACATAATGGCTTCTTTCAACTTTCAGATTGAGATCAACTCCAAATCTGAGCGTGTGCTCTGTGTCGTAATCACTCCGCTCACAAGTTGACCTTTAGTTTCTAAAAGCTGACGACTAGGTTGAAACATTTTTACAAGTCTTTCAGACAATTTTTTTTTTTTTACTTTTTCATTTCACATTTCAATTTAACAAGTCTCTATTTTTAATGAATCCTTGAGACTCAATGGGAACTAACCTGTATAAATAAAGGTTGAATGAAAACTTGATTGACCTGGTTTAAGGCATTAAGATTGTTGATGTTTCAGGATGTGGAGGTCTGGAGGCCCTCTGCTGCAGAAGTGAAAGGTTTGGTGACCACTGTTTGACGAGAACCGTGTTGCTTCAGCCTCAATCTTCTTCTCTTTCTGAAGCACCGGAGGTGTTTGTCTGTGTCTGCAGTGGTTGTGGCTGTGACAGCGGTGGTTTTATCTCTGTACAGCTTTATAGATCTCATTTGTTGTAGAACCCCATGTTTCTAAATCTGGTAGCTTTTAGCCTCATTAATCCTTCAAATCTCTATTTTTTTCTTCTTAAAGCCAAGTTTCTCTGATTCAAACCACTTCATAGAACAAGTTTATCTGCATATAACCCCACTTCTTCATGTTGTGATTGAAACAGGATGTGGTGTTACTTTGTATTTCTTGTTTTTAGTACAATTATTATAGTATTGACGTCAGTGATGGGCCACAGGTCATGGCTGCTGCTGCTGGTGGGGAGCAAAGGAGGTGTTCTGTGAGGAGGATAGGCCTCCCCCCATCACCGCCACCACCTTTCCCTCCTTCAACCCAGCACCCGGCCCGTCCCCTCTCACTATCACTCACCGCAGCATGAAGCTTCCTGTAAGACCTGAAGACTCAAACCTGTGGTTTCAAGTGGAAAATGTCACTGGGCACTTTAAAGAAGACAAAGAGGTGAGAATGAGGGGCGAGAGAGAGAGAGAGAGGGATGAGAGAGAACGACAGCTTGCATGAGAGACAGAGTTATGTACGAGTAAACAGACAGAGAGGGGCTCAAAAAGACAGAAATCAAAGGAATCAGTCTGGAGGAGGAGGTGATGACCTTATCCTTGTTCACCACCAGCTACCAAGACTCAAGAGGTATATTTCATGAACTGCTCTAAAAGAATAATATTGTAATGATAAAAAGGACTAGTTTGCATTTTTGTAGTAAAAAAACTGGCATATTTTCTCTCAAAGTTCTTTGTGAGACATCTCAGTATCCAGAAGTTGTTTTAGTCTTTCTGCAGAAATGATCGTGACAGCCTGTAGTGATGAAGTCAGGCTGTGATGAACTAAGAAAATTAAGACCCGGTGACACATTTTCACCACATTCACTTGAAGTCCAGGTCAAAGAGTCCTGTTTCTGATCTGACTGGTTTCTGTCTCAACCTTTATTTTCGTTGATAATCTCTGACTTGTATCAGTTTCAGGCCATCCTGCTGTCAGGTTTTGATGATGCAGGTGAGGGGTTTGGAAACCTTTCGGCTTCTGACCACTCAAGACCTGCAGATAGTTGGCTGACAAGTACAATCGTTGTACATAAACTAAAAAAGGACGAAACGAAGGCACAGCTTTACATTTCCATTCTTATTTCACTATAATTTTGGGGAAAAAATATGCATTGTCTCTAAAGTTGATCTGATTTCTGGAAATCCTCAGTTGTTTTTTATTACTCTAAAAAGAGTCCAACTTTAAGAAGGGGATGCACAACAATACAAACTACCGTTTGGGAATAATTATGGTTAAACTAGATTTAGTTATGCTTTCATTTTGACACCAGGTCATCTACCCAGTGATGAGGCTCTTCCTTCTTTATACGCTCTGTTTGTAGGAGTGCTTTCTCTCACAATAATGAGGAGGATATATTCTGCTGCTTGGAACGGTCTAATCCCTGGAATTGTTGAAGTTCCTTCCTGGCTTCCTTATTATTTCTGTCTACTTTGTTTTCTTCCCAAAAAAGATATGCTTTATTTAAGAATGTATGGGGTGCCGTTTGTAAAGTTACACAGTGGAAAAATTAACAGCAATATTTTGGTTTACCTTTGTTTTTTCCAAAGTCATATTTTCACCATGTTACCATACCATACCATTTTATTTATAGAGCACTTAAAACAGCTACAAGGCCAACCAAAGTGCTGTACAGACAGAACAACAGACAACACATGAAGCAATATACACAATGAAGTAAATCAAAAATATAGACATTAAAACGATGCAGATAATAAATATGACGACAAACCAGTGTGGAGCGTACAGGTTCGAAACACAGATCCTCTGGTGTTGAAAGCTACTGAATAGTAGTGAGTTTTTAAACGGGATTTGAAAACCGAGAGGGAGGGGGCCAGTTTGACAAGCAGCGGCAACTCGTTCCAAAGTCTTGGTCCTGCTACAGAGAAGTCCCTGTCACCTCTGCGCTTAAGTCGAGTTCCTGGAACTATGAGGAGCAATTGGTCCGCTGACCTCAGGGAACGTGGAGGGACATATGGTTGTAGTAGATCAGAGAGATGGGGGGGGGGGGGGGGTGCGAAACTGTTCAGTAATTTGTAGACATACAGGAGTATTTTCATACTTTTATAAATGTCATAGTTCCGAACTAAATATTTAATTTACAATCTAAGTGTTTAGTTTACAAACTAAATACTTAACTTCCATCCATCCATCCATCCATCCATCCATTTTCTTCCGCTTATCCAGGGTCGGGTCGCGGGGGTAGCAGCATAAGTAGGGAGGCCCAGACTTCCCTCTCCCCAGCCACTTGGGCCAGCTCTTCCGGGGGAATCCCGAGGCGTTCCCAGGCCAGCCGAGAAACATACATAGTCCCTCCAGCGTGTCCTGGGTCTTCCTCTGGGTCTCCATGTGGGACATGTCCGGAACACCTCACCAGGGAGGCGTCCAGGAGGCATCCTAAACAGATGCCCAAGCCACCTCAACTGGCTCCTCTCGACGTGGAGAAGTAGCGGCTCTACTCTGAGTCCCTCCCGGATGATCGAGCTTCTCACCCTATCTCTAAAGGAGAGCCCAGACACCCTGCGGATAAAACTCATTTCGGCCGCTTGTATCCGAGATCTCATTCTTTCGGTCACAACCCAAAGCTCATGACCATAGATGAGGGTGGGAACGTATATCGATCGGTAAATTGAGAGCTTCGCCTTTTGACTCAGCTCTCTCTTCATCACGACAGACCTGTACAGCGCCCACTTACTTAATACTTAACTTGCAAGTTAAATATTTAGCTAACAAGCTAAATATTTAGCTAGCAAGTTAAATATTTAGGTCTGACCTAAATATTTAGTTAGCAAATTAAATATTTATTTTGGAAATTAAATATTTGTTTTGGAAATTAAATTTTTAGTTTGGAAAATAAATATTTAGGTCCAAGCTATATATTTAGTTTATCAAATTAAATATTTATTTTGGAAATTAAATGTTTAGTTTGGACAATAAATATTTAGACTCAAGCAGTCTCAATTTAGTTTAGGAATTAAATATTTAGCTTAGAAATTAAATGTTTAGTTTAGAAATTAAATATTTAGCTTGAAAAAATAAATATATAGTTTGGAAATTAAATATTTAATTTAAACCTAGATGTTTAGTTCACTAGCTAAATATTTAATTTGCAAGTTAAATATTTAGTTTGTAAATTAAACATGTGGCTTGGACATAAACATTTAGTTTGTAAACTAAATATTTAGTGTGGAGCTACCTTTTTTATCTTGCTAACTAAATATTTAACTTGCAATTTAAGTATTTAGTTTGTAAACTAAATATTTAGCTTGTAAATTAAATGTTTAGTTAGTGAACGATGACATTTATAAAAGTTTGACTAACAGGGTGAAAATATGACTTTGAAAAAAAAGGTTTTTATTTCTTATGAAAGGCTAAATAAACCAAAATATTGCTGTTAATTTCTGGCTGTAACTTTACAAACGGCACCCCATAAGAATGAACCCTTTTGTTAGATCTAGTCTTTGTGTCATGACAGGAGCATACAAGGTGTAAACATTGTCTCGTGGTGTTTTAACTGTTCCACCCTTCTCCTGTCCTCTCAAATGGACCATTCTGCTCACTGGTCCTCCAGTTTGGGATGATTTTGTTGATGTTGCAGTTTCAACTTCCAGGTTTCAGAAGTGACAGACAAAAGAGACAAAGGTTCAGCAGGTTCATTCAGTCTCGTTGTGTTGACGACATTTTCTGTTGTTGACGATGAATCCACGACTGTGTGAATCCCATCTGCTTCCAGCCGTGTCGCTGTCATGAAGATGCTGCGGTCCTTGCTCGTCTTCGTGATTCTGCTTCCACCTTGTTCAGCTCACAGAGGTCCAGCTGGTACGTGCACGTTAAATCTGAGGGAAAGAAGAAAGATCCTCAGCTTCCTTTTTTACGTTTTACTGGTCGTTCTAATCCCAATGTGTCTTTTGAAACAAGGACTCTTCTGTACAAATGACCTCGTCCACAACGTCAGCTGCAGCTGGACCGGGTCCTGGACGGGTTCTTTTGATGACTGTTGGGTTTCTGGAGTGAAGAAAGTTTTTAACAAAAGAAAATCTGAAATCATGTAAGCTATGACAGCTTTTGTTCTTTATATTTCTTAACAAACTGTTAAAATGACACAATATCTTCAACTTTTTTTATAAACAGAGAGAAAAAGGAGGCATTCAGTCGTTTAGTTTGTTTTTGAGAGGACAAACGTGGACACAGTTGATGTAACTTTACACAATTCTTTCAAATTTGTCTTTTTTTTTTGTAGTCGAAGCTGCAAAATGAAACAACACAAGAGTTCTTCTCCAGGCTGCAGCTTGGTCTTTGAGGGAACAGTAAGTCCTAAACATCTCTCGACAAGATGATTACCATTTGAAGACTAATTTTATTGAATTTAATGTTTTAATGGCTCCTGCAGCAGTTCTCTGGGTCTGCAAAGATGCCAAACATCAGCATGACGTGTAACGGCACACTGATAGCAAACATCACAAACTACAGACCAGTCAATTACAGTGAGTTATTTTTTTTAATGTGTATATTTTTGATTTATAGCAATAGTTCTCCAGTTATTTGACACAAATTTGTAAATTGGCAGAAAAAAAGTGCACTCCCATTACAAACGTGCTCATAATGCTGACTAAGAAAATATATTTCACTTGCAGATATCAATTTTTATATTTCCGTTAATGGTGTTCAGCTGTTCTTTAATATAAGTTCATTTTAAGCAGTTTTTAAAAGTCGTAAAGTCTCTTTGTGTGTTTGTCTGCAGTTATGATGCATGCTCCCGACGCTCCTCATGTCAACATCACCGTCAATTACACGCAGATACTGTGGCGTCTGGGGAAACCCGTCTCTTATCTTTTCAAATCTGGATTTGACTTTGAAGTTCAGGTCAAACGGAGAGAGCAGTCATGGACGGTGAGCTCAGACCTACACGCGTCAGGATCTCGTTGTTTTACGGGGTTGCCACTTTGTTTTGCACATTTTATTAATCTAAATACAAAATCTGCAGGTGGTTGAAGTTTTGTTTCAAGTATTATGGCAAAAATAATGAATTTATTTGAAATGAACAATTCTTTATTGATCCCTGAATGGAAAACTTTTTGTGCAGCATCATTTTATGAAAGGAGAGAATAATATAGAATTTTTTTTTTTTAATTTAAAGCTTTCCCTGTGGGCAGAAGTCACTGCTGTTCTTCGTCAGAGTTTAATGTCATGAGGCTGTGTATTATATATTTCGTTTAGTAATGTGAAATGTTCTTTTTTCCCCCACACACAGTGGCTACAGTAGCTCAGTGGTGGTCTTGTATTCCTGAGGCTGCAGGTTCAAGTCCAGTTTGGACATCCTGAGTCAAACACTTAGCAGGTCTTTCATGCACAGTGCCGTGGCAACTCGTTCAAAACGATTGCAGACAAAAAAAAAAACAACAACTTAAACTTATCTCTCTAAAGCACAAAAACTGACAAGAATTGAATTCTGCACCTCTTTTTATGTTCGCCACAGCTTCCATCTGAGAGTTATGTCCTCTTGTGCAGGCGTCGCGTGTCCCACCTGGCAGTTAGAGTCTCGAGGTGCCTTTTCTTTGGCCAGCTGCAGCTGACAGGATAAAACTGCAAGAAGACCTCTGGCTGATGAATAGTCTGATTATTGATTATTTGTAAGATCTCTTTGACTCATCCAAACCACAAGACATGCAGCATGTTAATCTAAACACTAAGGCTGCTCTGCCCTTCCTTGTAAACTGCCTCTGTCTTATATTTCTTGTCTCTTGTCCAAAAGAAAATCCAGGTGTCTGTAGCCCACAACTATCACAGCAACTTCTGCTAGGAAAGAAAAAAGTGCTTTATAGTTCATCCAAGCTGTAAAATATTCTTCCTTGTGTTGCTGCTGAAGAGGTGATGGTCCTGACAGAGCTATCTGAGTCTTTGTTCAGATGATGGGACTCTGGGTTGAACTGGATGTGCGGTGTTTACAGAGTGAAAAGAAAGGAGTAGAGTACAGAGCCCAGAGGTGCTCCTGTCCAATTGGCCAGTGAACATCTAAACTTATCATTGCTGAAAGCACCAGAAAAATCAGAAAACAATCCTCACTTCTTTATCCAGATGGGATAAAGAAGGTATTGGCTCCCTGAAACATGTACAAGATTTAATCTTCTTTGCTAAACCTTAATGTAAAATACAAACTCCACAGGATCTTCAAAGGTCTACTTTCTCACATAGAACCAAGAATAGATTCTCCAGGACTTTCCTGCTATGAGGCATTGGAGCAATGGGTATACAGGTAGTTGTTGAGGGCAGATGGATAGAATGTTTAAGGCATTGGGATGAGACAAGATGTCACCCACTACTCTGGTTCTGGATCTGGATTCTAACTTGGGATAAATTGAAAGATATACTCTAAAGAGTGGTGTGATTACCATTACCAGAGAGAGTGGTGTGATTACCAGAGAGAGTAGTCAATAACTACTCTCTCTATACTCCTCAGCTCAGTCCTCACCTCCTTCTACAGGTGTGCAGTGGAGAGCATCCTGTGCTCCAGCATCAATGTGTGGCATGGAGGCTGCACAGCTGCAGAAAGAAAAGCTTTGCAGAGAGTGGTGAAGGCTGCACAGAAATCTGTTGGAGTCAGTCTCCCCACCATCACAGACATCTACACCTCCAGATGCAGGAAGAGGGCCACCTGCATCATGAAGGACCCCACCCACCCAGCACACACACTTTTTGCCCCACTCCCCTCAGGAAGGAGGTTAAGGAGCATTAAGTGTAGAACCACTAGACTGAGGAACAGCTTCTACCCTGAGGCTGTTAGACTCATGAATCTCTAACTAGAATAATCGCTGTGAAAAACCATATCATGTTGCTGCTGATCTGTTTCATGTTGCTGCTGATCTGTTTCAATGTTGATGTGTTCATGCGTGCACATCTGCTCACAGACTCATGTTCATGTTTGTGGTGATGTTCAATGTTTTATGTTATGAGTGCTTAGTGTATATTTAGTTGATGTTTTTCTTAGTTCATATCTTAGATGTTATTACTGTTTTTCTTATACATTTTATTGTCGGATGTAACTGGGACCCTGTGTACATAATTTCGCTCCACCACATGTACCACATGAGGTGCGAATGACAATAAAGAAACTCTGACTCTGACTCTGACTCTAAAGGCCCGTGCAACTGGTCAACACAAACATTAACATCCTTGGGGAGCCTTTTTCTTGCTCGGTGAGTTGTAGACCTATGATGGCCAAAGATAAGACTGTAAAGGTGTGTCAGGAAATTTGTAGGTCGTGGGAGGAAGGTGAGGTTTCTGTTTGTGTGCTAAGGTGAAGGGACAACTCCCATCATGTCTTCTTGATCTGAACTCGTCAAAAAACTTCCTGGGTCTGACTGGACTTGAGTCAGTCTTCCATCTCAAGGCTTTCTTCTTTGTGCTCAGGAGCCTGCTCAAGCTACTGCTGAACCAAAGCTTCCTGCCCTGATGAGGAAGGTTTTCTCTACAAAGGAGCTGATTTGTGGCCTCAGAGAACCTTTACAGCGCTTTGTCTGTTTTCTGTGACCACCTCCCTTACAGTTTTGTAGTGCTTGCCAAAATAGTTGAGGTGTAAATGAAAAACACCAGACTGTGGACTGTTTATTTTGTGGAAAGGCTGAAATGTGGCATGCATCCATTACCAATGAAAATAATGAACTCAATGTGTTGTGGTTGCAGTTGTTGGGAAGTTGCAGATGTAGCAGCTAAACTTGTGCTGCAGTGCTGATATCTGTCCTTTTGACTTCAAGGGTTTAAATAAGTTTGTTTAGAGATGATGAGGAAAGGTTTCTGCAAACGGTAACATTCAAACCAGGCAGAAATGATCCTGCTCGTGGTAAAGATGCTCCGTAACTTTAAAACTTGGCTGAATTATCTTTCTTCTTCCATCAGGAGTCCAGGACTTTGCCTAAAAATGACCAGGAGCTGAAAATACCTGTTTGGGAGCTAAAAGGTGCCTCTCAGGTCAGAGTCAGAGTCAAGCCCTCTGACAGAGAGAACAGCCACTGGAGCGCCTGGAGTCCAACAACGTCCTGGGAGGGAGCAACAACCAGGCTGGACTCGCCAACTAAACAAGGTGGAAAAAAGAACTTTGTAATTTTATTGATTTAAATGACAACTTTGCTAACAGACTGTTTCATGATCTTATAAAAATTGAACAAAAAATAAAACCTTTTTCTTTGTTAATTTTGGGCTGCTCTCTTTCAGGGTTGCCACTCCATCTTGTAGCCCTTCAGTTTCACTCTTGAAGCTATCCTTCTGGTCATTGGTGTCAGAAGTATTTATAATGTGTGTGTGGTGGGGCACACTGGTGGTGGGAGGGTCTGGGGGTCCTCCCCCATAAATAAAAAAGTAGATGTTATTTTGTACATTGTGGCATTCTAGCATAAGGAAACACTTGAGTCAATAACTATGAGAGCATGACACAATGTAAAAATAACTGACGAGTCTTTGTGCGACTTAGTTCACTGTGGTGACCCCTAAAAGAAGGGAGAAGCCGAACGAAGGAAAAAAAATGGATTTGTTCACAGAGAAATAGAAACAGTGCTGGGTAAATTACTATTTCATGGTAAATGTGTAGGTGTGTGTGTGGGGGGGGGGGGGGGGGGCAAACAAATATTTTTTAATGTGAGGGGGACAAGTCCCCTTCGGATGTAATTGTTGCGAGTGCGACGCCTATGTTTCTGGCACAAATCACTCTTGACACTTGTTCTCCAGAGCAGACCTCCACCTCTCCAGGCTCTCTTCCACCTGCTCCCTACTCTCACTACAAATTCCATTGTCATCTGGAAACACCATCACTCAAAATAAAAATCTGCTAACTGCTGGCATTAAACAAGGTGTTTTTGTGTGTTTCAGGCCGGTGGTTGGATCAGACCTCACTGATGGTGACGGGAGTCCTTCTCACTTTTCTTCTCGTCATCGTTGTTGTGACGGCCCTTTACAAGAACTGCAAGAACCGAGAGTGAGTACATTGTGTACTGAATGTTTCTTTGCATTTCTGTCTTCCATATCTGCAATCCCACTTCTTACAAAATTGTAACATTATGTAAAATGTAAATAGAAACATGAATACAAAGAATTGCAAATCTTGTAAACCTGTATTTTTACAATAGAATTTTATAACACCCCTTCTCAAAATAAGCTGGAACAGAGGAAACAAAAAGACTGTATAAGTAATAAAAACACCTGAAGGAACAAATTAGGTTAATGGACAACAGGTCAGTACAAGGACCGAGTATAAAAAGAGACTGAATCTGTCAGAAGTAAAGATGGGCAGAGGTTCACAAGTCTGTGTCTAAAATAGTGGAACAATTTCAAAATAATGTTCCTCAGTGGAAAATTGGGAGGACTTTGAATATCCCATAATTTAAATTTCATCAAAAGATTTCAAGAATCTGACGACATCTCTGAGCTCAAAGGGCACAGTTGGAAGTCGATATGTAATGCACGTGATCGTTGGGTCCTCAGGCAGCACTGCCTGGAAAACAGGTCTGATTCTCCTCTGACATCACTGCTTGGACTCAAACACTCCCACAATCAATCTTCTGTAAACACAGTGCACCGTGTCATCCACAAATATAAGTGAAAACTCTTTTATGCAAAGAAGAAGCCATGTGCACACCATCCAGAAATTCTGCCATCTTCTCTGGACCAAAGCTCATTTGAAATGTACTGAGGCAAAGTGAAAATCTGGTCTGTGGTCAGATGACTTAAAATTAAAAATATATTTTCAGAAACCACAAGTGCCACGCCTTCTGTACTAATGAGAGGGACAATCCAGCCTGCTATCAGCGTACAATTCAAAAGCCTGTTTCTCTGATGGTATGGGGATGCATTAGTGCCTATGGCATGGGAAGTTTACGCTTCTGAAAAGGCGCCATCAGAGCAGAAAAGTTCAAACATGGCAAACTTAAAGATTTTGTATGTGTACACTGTTTCATTGTGAATAAAATTTATTTACAAGATTAGAGTTAAAATAAAGCCTAACTTTTTTTTTTGTTTTGTTTGTTTGTTTGTTTGTTTTGCAGGCTCCTCAAAGGGAAACCAGTACCCAACCCCTCCAAGTATTTAGAAACCCTTCCCAGTGGAAATCCAAAGGTAAAAATCACAGCTGTTTTAAACTGTTCTGTCACGTTCGGGTTTTGGAATCAGAATAAGCCAGACACAGGAGTACAAAAGAACGGTTTTAATTTGGCTGCTGGAGTCAGGGTCCAGTCTTAGTCTGTACATGGCAGATGAAATCCAGATGGTCATAGAGGGGTCAAGCATGGAGGAGCAGAGAGTATCGTAGTCGTGTTGGGAGAGCAGAGTCATTTACTATGGTCAGAAAAGCAGTCAAATCCGAAAGGGTCAGGCAAGACGAGGAAACCACGGTACAGGCGAGAGGTCAAGACAAGGCGAGGCAAACAAGAAACTATGGAACTATGATGTCGTCATAATCAGGGACCAGGGAAGGTTTAATAATTCGGCCCTGGTGGGTTGTGGACAGGTGGTTGGCATGAATGCTGATTGCAGAGGGAACGTGGTGCTGAATGAATGGAGCAGCGTGAACAGGTGCATGGGATGAATGCTGATTACTGTGGAGAAAACAAGGGAGGTGTGGCATGGAGTGAAGGGAGCAGGCTTGAGCTGAAGGATGGGTGATAGGCAAAACACAGCAGGGAAACAGAAAATATGGCATGAGGGGCAAAACTATGGCAGGTGACATGGGCAGGAGAACACAAAGCATGAAGGCAGGATTATGGCAGGATGGGCAGAAACATGGTATGAGGAGCAGTGACGTGAGCAGATGAGGGGTCGGCGAGGGCCACTGACCATTACATGTTCACTACTAAATAACTTGTATCTCATATTCTTTAATTTGCAGGTGTTACACTAAAGTTATTTATCTGTTATAAATATTAACTTCTCAAATTGTATGTGTTTGCTTTTGCTCTTTTGAGGCAGCTGTATTTGCAGTCTGTGTTTACTTAGAGGACAGAAGAAACTGTTGTTGCTTAAATCATTAGTGTCTGATTATTCCTTCAAGGCTGAATCTAAATTTGTTTCCTTTTGTTTTTTTTATTATAGCGCCAGCTGTCAGGATCTGAATTTGTCTTTGTCCCATCTTGCGACCACATCTCCCCAGTGGAAGTGTGTCAGGACTGGGAAGTGATGGTCCCCTCTCTGTCTCCATCCTCCAGCTCCATCAGTGCCCTGCTTCATCCCCAGAACTACCCCCCCTCTGCCTCGGGATCCAGCGGAGTCGTATTTAACTCGTCTTCTCTGTCCAGTTTCTCCAACATGGGTTATTTCATATCCAGCTCCTCGAGTGGCTCGGCTGGAACTGATCCCCACCTGGCCTACTTCACCTACAACGACCCTTTCCAGACCCTGCCCACCATCCCTCAGCCCTCCTTGTGCGACACGTTCTCCTCTGATCCAGACTATGAGAGCCTGAAGAAGGAGCCAGAGAGTCCAGACTCAGGTTTTGGCATCAAGGAGGATCAAGAAGAGGATCTGAATGAACACAGATCTCTCTTTCTTGTCCTGCCTCTACATTTTCCTTCTCATACTCGTCTGCCTTCCTCTCCTCCTTCTCCTGCTGTAGCTCAGATATCCTCCATCAAACAGGAGCTGGATGTGTCAGAGATGGTTGCTGCTGCTGGTGGTGCTGGTGGTGGGGGCTCTGCTGCTGCTGCCATGTGCAGGTCCTCCTCCATGCCTGTAGAGACCTTTAAATCGGACTATTTGACACTCAAAGAGCTGCAATCAACATTCAGCAATAAATCAATGTAAAAGCAAAATTTAGTTAGGGGTGATTCTCAGTTTTCAACATTTTTGTAAGCGTACAAACCATATGCTGTGGGGAGGGAGTCAAGCTTTTCAAAATATATATTTTTTAAAAAGTGTTTTGATACACCCTGTATAGCCGACGTGTTGCTATTCTCTCGCATGGCCAACACTGACATGACACGCCATACGGTGAGCCCGGCTGCAAGCAGCGGTCCCAGCTGAGGGATCAGTGGCTCAACTGCGAGCTCCTCTCTGTCTCAAAGTGCTCAGAGCAGAGACGCACGCTGCAAACGAACCACATATGTACATAGTCGCCACTGATCCTGCTCTGGCTCTTGCACCACACCCTCCATCTTCTCGGGACTTTTATATCTAAAATCTGACTTTGTATTAAATGTTAATGTGTTCGGAGCATCGTCATCGTACAGACAGGCTCAACTTGGATGGGTGACCAAGCGTCTGGTCTTCAGAGAGTGTGCCGCCGGGGGAGTGCGCGCAGCCTGTTTGAGTGTCTCTTTGTGAGAATCTTAGAACTGAACAATATTCACACTAAAAGGCAAATACTTGCAGGCTCCAGATCACAGCAAAGATGTCTCTGTTTAACTTTTTTTCCCCAACCAACTCAAAGTTCTTTGTGACAGAGTCAGCGTTAGGTGTGTGTAACTTATCATAAATATCTATACACCGGTATCCGTACGTTTTAAACAATTTTAAGTTGTGTACAAATGTGGAATGACAATTTAACCTTAGTACAATATCCATGTGAGCACATGGGTTTTCTCTCAGATTTATCTATTGTAAAATAGGATTTGTGAAAGTCATCGTTTTTATGTACACATTTGGAGGGTGGGAGGAGGGGGGGTCTCCAAAGAGTACATTTTGTACGCATGTGAAAACGTTGAGAACTGTGAACCATCCCATAAGCTTCTTGTGCTAACACCACAAGCAGCTTGACTAATTATTACTATCTACACTTGATTGGCTTTTGGAGCCAGTCCAATTCAAGATGGCCGTCACAGCCAATCAGACCAAGCATGCACAAAAATGGCTTTAACTCAGTCAAATGTTTGTTATCCCAATCCTCTGTGTGACATAGTGCATAACGTTATTTTTAAGGTTTAACCAAAATGGCTACCCATCTGTCCCTCTGTAAACTTGTGCTGTTCCATTCTGGTCGTTTGATCAGACCACAACAAGACAACCGTAAACTTTGCACATTGATGTGATTAAAAACTACAGCTCAAATGGCCGCTGATTAAACTCATGTACAGATTAACATTCAACATTGGAGAGATGGCATGAAACTAAATAATTTAGCTGCAAAAGTGAGGAAAAAAAATTAACTCATGCAAGAGACATGTGTAAAATATTTGTACATACTATTAAAAACATATTAAGGCAGCTTTACAGTAAACTTACCTTGCTACATCATCCAAGTTATCTTGCATTAAAACGCTAAATACAGCAGTAACAAGTTAGCATTAGTAAGAATGAAAGCTTTTCTACAGCTACTGCCCAGCTTTTGCTTTTGTTCAGAGAAAAGGTTGAATAAATATTTTACTTTACCTGTTGTAAATGTTTTATTCAATGACTTTGGTTTCAAGAAAAGAAGGTTAGCTTTGACCGAATTGGCGAGCTAACAGCTAATTTTGGTGGAACCATGCTAAAAGTGGATTATTGTCTTTTTAAAACAACTCTATCAAAATTTCAGGTCTGTTAAATAAAAAAATTTTAAAAACTGTTTTCTAAAGTTTTACGTATCAGTTTTTCATGTTGCGGTTACTTACAAGGACTTTTCTGATTAGCAAAACAAAAATAGCAATAGCATCTAGCTTTAATGCTTTCTGCAGGAACATTATACTTTTGCTGAGATAAACGTGTGATGTGAAACTGACTGCGAAGGTTTGTAAAATAACTTAAATAAAAAATATGTGGAAAATAATGAGCGTTTAGATTTTTAAAAAATGGCAGCTATCCACTTCATCTGGTTTCGGCACCACTCAGACCAGCCGTTAGCTTGTTGATCTGGTCAACCTACAGTTTATTTCTCTAAAATTAGAGCTTAATTAATTAAGTTAGATTTTATTTTCCTAGAAATTCAAAATAGTAAATGCCATAAGAGTTAAGGGTGTCCATAAGTGCACCTGGCACCAGGACGCCCTAGGTCGTAGAACGGTGATTGACTTTGTAGTCATGTCATCTGATTTGAGGCCGTTTGTTTTGGACACTCGGGTGAAGAGAGGAGATGAGCTGACAACTGATCACCACCTAGTAGTGAGTTGGATCAGATGGTGGGGGAAGATGCCTGACAGACCTGGTAGACCCAAACGTGTAGTGAGGGTTTGCTTGGAACGCCTGGCAGAAGAACCCGTCAGAAAGATCTTCAACTCACATCTCCGGGAGAGCTTTAACCACATTCCAGCTGAGGTGGGGAACATTGAGTCCGAGTAGGCCATGTCCTGCACCTCGCTTGTTGAAGTAGCTGCTATGAGCTGTGGCCAAAAGGTTGTCTGTGTTTCTCGTGGTGGCTATCCACAAACTCGGTGGTGGACACCCCGGGTCAGGGAGGCTGTCAAGCTGAAGGAGGAGTCCTATCGGGTCTTGTTGGCCAGTGGGACTCTGGAGGCAGCTGAGGAGTATCGGAGGGCCAAGCGGTCCGCAGCCTTGGTTGTTGCTGAGGCAAAAGCTCGGATGTGAGAGGAGTTTGGTGAGGCCTTGGATAAAGACTCTCGGTCGGCTCCGAGGAGATTCTGGCAAACCATCAGGTGGCTGAGGAAGGGAAAGCGGCATTTTACTAACACTGTGTTCAGTGAAGGTGGGGTGCTGTTGACCTCAACCAGTGATGTTGTCGGGAGGTGAAAGGAATACTTCTTGGACCTTCTCAATCCCACCAGCATGACTTCCATGGAGGAAGATGAGTCGGGGGACTTTGGGGTAGGTCCATCCACAACCTTGGCTGAGGTCGCTGAGGTTGTTAAAAAGCTCTGAGATGGCAGGGCACTGGGAGTGGATGAGATTCGCCCTGATTTTCTTAAGGCTCTGGATGTTGTGGGGCTGTCTTGGCTGACACACCTTTGCAACATCGTGTGGACATCGGGGACAGTGCCACTGGATTGGCAGACTGGGGTGGTGGTTCCCCTCTTCAAAAAAGGGGTACCGGAGGGTGTACTCTAATTATAGGGGCATCACTCTCCTCAGCCTCCCTAGTAAGGTCTATTCAGGGGTACTGGAGAAACGAGTCCGATCGTTGGTCGAACCTCAGCTCCAGGAGGAAAAATGTGGGTTCCGTCCTGGCCGTGGAACACTGGATCAGCTTTTATACCCTCACTAGGGTTCTTGAGGGGTCATAGGAGTTTGCCCATCCAGTCTACATGTGTTTTGTGGACTTGGAGAAGGCATTTGACCGTGTTCCTCAGGGTACATTGTGGGGGGTGCTCCATGAGCATGGGATTGGGGGCCCGTTGTTACGGGCTGTTCAGTCCCTATACAAGCGGTGCGAGAGTTTGGTTCGCATTGCCGGTAGTAAGTCGGACTCCTTCAGGGTGGGAGTTGGACTCTGTCAGGGCTGCCCGTTGTCACCGATTCTGTTCATAATTTTTATGGACAGAATTTCTCGGTGCAGCCAGCGGGCGAAGGGAGTCCAATTCGGTGGCCTCAGAATTCCATCTCTGATTTTTGCATATGATGTGGTCCTGTTGGTGTCATTGTGCCATGATCTTCAGCTCTCACTGGAGAAGTTCACAGCCGAGTGTGAAGCGGCTGGGATGAGAATCAGCACCTCCAAATCTGAGGCCATGGTCCTCAACCGGAAAAGGGTGGATTGCGCTCTTCAGGTCGAGGGTGAGGTTCTGCCTCAAGTGGAGGTGTTCAAGTATCTTGGGTTTTGTCCAAAAGTGAGGGAAGAATGGAGTGTGAAATTGACAGACAGATTGGTGCAGCATCTGTAGTATTGCGGACTCTGTACCGGTCCGTTGTGGTGAAGAGAGAGCTGAGCTGTAAGGCAAAGCTCTCTGTTTACCGTTCGGTCTACTTTCCTACCCTCACCTATGGTCACAAGCTCTGGGTAGTGACTGAAAGAATGAGATTGCAGATACAGGCAATTGAAATGAGTTTCTTCCACAGGGTAGCTGGACTCTCCCTTAGAGATAGGGTGAGAAGTTCAGTTATCCGGAAGAGATTCAGAGTAGAACCGCTATTCCTCCATGTTGAGAGGAGCCAGTTGACATGCCCTGAGCGCCTCAGGGCATGTCTGATTGGGAGGAGACCCTGGGAAAGACCCAGGACACGCCGGAGAGACTACGTCTCTCGGTTGGCCTGGGAACGCCTTGGATTCCTCCCAGAAGAGCTGGAAGAGGTGGCTGTGGAAAGAGATGTCTGGGCCTCCCTGCTCAAGCTGCTGCCCCCGCGACCCGACTTCGGAATAAGCAGAAGATAATGGATGGATGGATGGATGGATGGATGGATGGATGGATGGATGGATGGATGGATGGATGGAG